TTTTATTGAAGCATTAACATGATTTTTCCAGGGAGGTGTGTGAATGGGACTGCACATCCTTGTATTTTTAGAGAATTTACCAAAGTTGGGCCTCTCGCAGACTGAGTGCAGGGGGTGAGGGCTAGGAAAAAATTCTAGGATAAAGAGAATTTCCCATGCAAAAGCAGCCAGAGAAAATATCCTGGCTTTCTAGCTTGCAATGCCTGGTGTGGGCCACAACCGTACATGAGAGTTCATGAGCGGCTACAACTCCATCTGTAAAACAGTGGCCTGGACTTGAAGTTTTGCCAGACCTCTTGTATCATGGGGACTGTAAAGTTGGGATTCAAGATAGCTATTGGAAAAACAGCTATTTCAGATGCAGCAGTAAACTGAAGTGCAATTAAATTTAGCTTTACGTAGCATTTGTGCTTTTGATTATTCTGAAGCATGTATTTTCAAAACAAGATTGTTTCCAACTCTGTGGCATCACTGAATTTTTAAAGCTGGAGGGAGCTGGGGGTGACTCAGAAAACCCTTTCATTCTCACAAGATTCTTTGCTTTAAAATCACGTGTCTTTGGTTTCTGCTTGTGGGGCAGCCGCAGCTTTGCCTGGGTACGGACCGAGGGGGCTCAGCTCCAGCCGTGGGGCCGCTCCCCCCGGGGCTGGGCCAGCACAGCAGTGACCTTGTTTTCAGCAAGTGCCTCTTTACGCAGCCCCTCGTGGGATTTTACGCCTGGTAATTTATGTGAGAAAGCTGACGCAGGGGTAGAATGATGAAATCTCGCGTTTGTCTCTCACGCCTCTAGGAAGGGAAACCCCCAGCAGCGCTGCCTGCCAGGAACGCACTTTCCAGTCGCGGAACCAAACCCGTCCTCCGCCGCGCAGACACCCAGCCGGCGACAGCCCCACACAATTAACAGTAAAGCATTTTAATTTCACGCACTGACAGCGTTATTGTCTTGACGGGGCGGGAGGTTGCGCTCGCTGGCCAGCTCCACGGGCCGGATCCGGATCGGGGCCCGTCTCCCTCTGTCACGGGCCGTGGCCGCAGGTACCGGCCGTGTGGTGCAGAGCCACCACTCGGTGCCGTTTGTTTGCTCAAATTAACATTTATTGGTGCAGCGGCGTGAGTTCTTACAGCAGCAAACAGTCGCGGGGCGAGTTTATTTTGACTGGACTTGGTGGTTTTGAGGACCAGTTGGAAATTTTCCTTTAACAGAAAATGAGAAAAAGCAAAGAAGCAAGGGAAGGTTGTAAAAAAAAAAAAAAAAAAAAAAATTTTCTGCTTATTGCATCTTTTGCTCCCTGTGCCCCAAGCACCCCCAGCAGCCGTGCTCATCGCCCATGCACCACGCAGGGCTGGTGCTGCCTGCCCCGGGGAGCTCCGGGAAGGTCAGCGAGGGGGAAGGTTTCCTCGGCAGCTCCCGGAGACACCCCGAAGTGAGCCTGGCCAAGGTGCCGTGCCTCCTGCACAGGCTTGGGCTCCGGGGGAGGGCTCCAAACTGGGCAGCTCCCACGCAGGGCGTGAGCGCGGTGGCAGCCCCGGGGAGCTCTGGAGCTCTGCCTGCGGGCGCGACGGCCGGGCTGCGCTGGGAGCTCGAGCTTCGGCTCCTGGAGCTGCTGAAAAGCTTGTTTGTTGGTCTAGTACAGCAGTAATTTCCTCTGAGAGCCTTGCCCTCACCCTGGCACTCGTCAGTTAGCATTGGGACGCTGTCAAAGGCTAATGGCCAAAACCAGAGCCACGCTGCGGGGAAGGGGATGGTGCCCGCACAGGCAGCCCGCGGCAGGGGAGCGGGCTCCCGCTTGGGGCTTGGTTTTGAGGTTTTTTTTTTCAATTTTTATCAAAGTTTTAGCACTGTGTCAGCCACCACGTCTCCTGTGAGCCCGGGTGACAGGCATGCCCGTGTCCCAGAGCTAGTTCAAGCCGTTTAGCTGTTTAGGTCTCTGGGATGAAGTGAGCTGGGCTGGGAACGCCGCGGGAGGGGGATTTTGGGGACCCCGCAGCCTGCGCCCAGAGCCGCTCCATTGCGTGCTGACCTGGGCACAGCCGGTGAGGATTGGGGTGACCTTCATCGCCGCAGGGTCCCGGTGCAAGCGCCTGGTGACACAGCTTTGCAGCTGCCCCGGCGCGGCGTCGGGAGCAGCCCGCGGTGGGGCAGGAACCTGCCACTGAGTTTGTTTTCAACCAAAGAGTTTTCGTTTTATTTCTCCCCTTCGGTGAATCTTTTTGGGCTTACTAAAACAAACATGTTAGCTGCCAAAGCGTGACAGCCAAAAAACAAGGTCACAGATGAGAAAACACATGGAAGAGTCGGATGTTGCATAACTGGCGAGGTCGGTGCCAAACCCCAGTGAATGATTTCTGTCTCCAAGCTGCCCCGGAGGGAAGCGGAGCTCCGGGTGGCTGGGGATGCTGTCGGTGCTGCTTTCCCTGGGCATGACTGCGCGGCTGTGCAGCGGGAGCGCTTTGGCTGTCTTGGCAAGGGCCAAACCAGTTGAAGCTGCACCCAAAGCTCTGGCTGAAGCTTGTCGGGCTGAGGGAAATGCCTGCTGGGCAGGCTGTAGGCCGGGTAGGAGACATGAGAGGAAAGGAACCTTTAGCGAGGAAAGAGCCTCGACTGTAGCCAAGGCCCTTAAAGCAAAACTAATGAGAACCTTCCACGCCTTGGCTTTTTAAACCCAAAGTTCAGTCCTGAAGGCGTATGATCCTCCACCTCGACAGCGCGCGCGCCTCACTGAGCCGCTCCTGCGCTTCTGAATCGGAGCAGACAGAGCGCTGGGAAACGCAGCCCTGGGAACAGTTTGGCACTGGCGAGGGGACAGGCAGGATGAATCCTAGGCGAGCTCTTCCACAGCTTAGCATTTATGATTCACTGTTGAAATCGAATGTATTCTGCAATTACACACCACTCTTCGAGGCGTTCAGCTGCCGCGGGTCGGAGCGGCACAGCTGGCGTAAGGCTCTTCGCCGCCTTCGGAGCAGTTCGGTTCCAGTCTGAGGAAACTGGTGTCCGTGTAGACGTGAGGGCCGTCTCTGCCGAGGGCAAGGAGGAGCGGCGGCTGCTCTGTCCCGCCGGCGCTGCCGTCCCAGCTGGCTCCCGAAGCAGATCTGCCTTCTCACGGTGCCCTGCAAGATGCTAAAGGAGCCGTGCAGAAGCCAAGGGCAAACCTCTCCTTGACTCCACTGGAGCCAGGATTTCACCCGTGGACAGATCCTCCTACGGAACTCTCCCGAAAGAGGCACAACAATGAAAAAAAAAGCATTGCACGTGGTGAGTTGTTGTCCTCAGCGATTCCCACAGCCGTTTTATTGCCTGAAGGAGGAAGAACGTGAACCCTGGAGGGAAGGACTTGCCAAAGTATTTAACATTTCTACATCTTGCATGGAGCTAAAGGTTCCCAAAAATCTTTAAAAATAACTGCAGAGATGTTTATTCAAGGTCTAAGGCTAGGCTAAGTAGAGTTTGAGATGTGGCTTCCAGGGGAAGGCAGCACGGGGGGATGAGCACCAGCATGCCGGCTTTCGCTTGGAGCTGGGGGGCTGTGGCAGCCAGGCCGGGCCGGGTGGGCTCCTGCTGAAGCCACCTTTTTGGGGGGGGGGGGCTGGGAGTGACTCGGTGGCTGCTGCCGGGCTCCGGGAGCGGAGCTGGGGGGCTCGGAGCTGTTCTGAGCGCTTCTGCCTGCACCCGGGTCCTCGCTTCCCTCCCAGGGGCCTGGGAAAACCAGCGAAATGTGCTGCTGGGCTAGTGGCAGGGATGGCAAACGATGCCAAACACAGCCACCTTCTCTTCTTTTATAGAAATACTTTAAAAATACTCTAAAATAATCCCTGCTGGAAAGGAAAACAGTGGTTCTTGGTGACGGTTTTACCTGCCAAGTCAGGGAAGCACGAGGCTCCTAGCTGAACGGGGCTGTGCGCTGGGTTCGGCGGGAGCTTTGCTGGGGGTGCCTGTGGCTGCTGGAATCCAGCGAGATTCCGAGACCCCAGGGCCGAGCGGGCAGCTGGGGGTCCCCTCGGAGAGCCCCCCCTCGGAGAGCCCCCCCTTCAGAGAGCCCCCCGCTTCGCACATCCTCTGGCATCCCGCACAGCGGCTGTTGGACGAGAAGAGCATCTTCCCCTGCTCCCGCACCTCGCCCCGTCCCCCCCCGCGCCCCCCCCCCCCGGGTGTTTCCAGGCCCGGGGGGGTGTCGGGCCGGGGGGCTGCGTTTGCGAAGAGCTGAGCCCGGCGTGGGTGCTCTCCCACCCCTCCTCCGCGTTTCACACGTCCCACGCCGGCGGGGGACGCCGTGACCGTGTGGGGGGGTTCCCCGTCGGGGTTTTGCAGCCCCCTCCCCGCACCCCCGCCAGCCCCCGCCCATCACCGTGGCACCCGCCGCCGGCCTCCGCTCCGCCGCTCCCTCTCGCGGCGGCCGCTCCGAGCGCAGCCGGGCAGGACCCGGCCCCGGGCCCCCTCCGCACCCGGGCGGGCAGGATCCGGCCCCGGCCCGGGGCTGCTCCGGCTGCGGGGCTCGGGAGAGCGGGGGCTGCCCCCGAGGGGCGGCGGGGACCTGCCCGCCACCGGCGTGGGGCTGCTTCGCGACACCCCGTCGCGGGTGGGTGAGCAGGGCGGCAGGGATGCCCCGGGGGGGTTTGGGGTGGGGGGGGAGAGGGGCGGCAGGGATGCCCGGGGGGGTTTGGGGAGGGGGGAGAGAGGGGCGGCAGGGATGCCCCAGGGGGGGTTGGGGTGGGGGGGGAGAGGGTCAGCGGCGATGCCTGGAGAAGCGGGGGGAGCTGGCCGCTCCCCGGAGATGGGCAGGGCACGGGGAGGAGGTGCCGAAGCGGGGTTTGGGTGGGGGGGCCGGCAGGTCTGGGAGGGCCCCGGGGGAGCTGGGAGGGCTGGGACGGGGCGGCCGCCTCTCTCTGCCGGCCCTTTCCCCCCAATCCTCCTCCTGCGCATTTTTTTTTTTTTTTTTTTTTTTCTTTTTCCTCCTGTCTGGGGGCAGGAGCCTGCGGAAACGTCGGGTGCCCGGGGAGGGGACAGGGTGGAGCCGCCGGAGAGCCCTGCAGCCCCGGGGCCGGGGCCAGGGCCGGCCAGGCTGCTCCCCGCAGCGGGCAGCGCCCGAGCGGCAGAGCCCGGGGCCGGGAGCGGGGCCACGGCTGCCGCCCGCGGGCCCACGCGTGCCGGGGATCCGCCGCCCGCCCTCGCTGCTGCCGGGCTCTATGTGGCCATGGAGAAGTTGTACTTCGTGGGGAGCAGCGTGTGGACGATCAACAGCTCCCTGGGGAACGGCAGCCTCCGCCTGGAGAACCAGACCTCCGGGAGGAACAGCACCACGGACCCCCTGAAGAGGAACGAGGACATGGCCAAGGTGGAGGTGACGGTCCTCTGCCTCATCCTCTTCCTCGCCCTGACCGGCAACCTGTGCGTGCTGCTGGCCATCCACACCACCCGGCAGAAGCACTCCCGCATGTACTTCTTCATGAAGCACTTGAGCATCGCTGACCTGGTCGTGGCCATCTTCCAGGTGCTGCCCCAGCTCATCTGGGACATCACCTTCAGGTTTTACGGGCCAGATTTCCTCTGCCGGTTGATCAAGTACTTGCAGGTAGTGGGGATGTTTGCTTCCACATACATGCTCTTGCTGATGTCCCTGGACCGGTGCTTGGCCATCTGTCAGCCGCTGAGGTCTCTGCACAGGAGAGCGGACCGGGTCTCTGTCCTCCTCACCTGGCTGCTGTGCCTGCTGGTCAGCATCCCTCAGATCCACATATTTTCTCTGAGGGATGTGGGGAATGGGGTTTACGACTGTTGGGCAGATTTCATCCAGCCCTGGGGACCTAAAGCCTATGTCACCTGGATAACCCTCATGGTCTACATCATCCCTGTGTTGATGCTGAGCATCTGCTATGGCTTAATCAGCTTCAAAATCTGGCAGAACGTGAAGCTTAAGACAGCTCAAGGGTCCAACATGGGTCTGAGCTCCAGTTCCCACAGCGGGATGGTGTTTGCCAGGGTCAGCAGCACCAGGCTCATCTCCAAAGCCAAGATCCGGACAGTCAAAATGACCTTCATCATAGTGTTAGCGTTCATAGTGTGCTGGACTCCCTTTTTCATTGTGCAGATGTGGTCTGTGTGGGACACGAATGCTCCGCAGGAAGGTACATCCTCTCCCCTCCTGAATCCCCGTGTTTGCAGGGACCCCCGAGCTCAGCGCCCGCAGGGACCCCCGCACAGACTCGCGGGCGACAGCCAGAAGCTCTGCTCTGAGCTGGGGCTCAGGGGGCTGGGAGGGAGGCGGGAGAAAGTCCTGCACGTAATAAAAGCCACCCAACGGGCAGCAGTGGCTGTGCCTGAGCTCCCCGGGTGCCGGCGAGGGCTGGCACAGCCCCCGGCAAATTCAGGGCCGCCGCGACTCGGGGGTCGGGCTGTGTGGGTGATGGCTCGGGAGGTTTTCACCGTCCCTGGGTGCGTGGGCTCAGCCCTCCTGGGGCTGCTCTGGGGTCCCCGGTGCTTCGATTGCCCGCCCTGGGTGCTGGGGGTGCCGAGGACTGTGTGGGAGCTCAGCCCCCACCGGTGCCCGGGGGTTGGGGTGACTGCAGGAAGAGACTGAGCTGTAGTGCCCGACTTCTTTTCTTTTGCTGTATTTTTTTGTCCTTGCTGACTTCTTTTCTTTCTACTCTTTTGCCCTGTTTTCCCCTCTCCTCCCGTTCCCGTCCACCCCAGGACTGTGCTGCAGTTATTTTATCTCTAACTGGAGCACGGTTCCTGCAGAAAGCCACTGATTTATGAGCAAAGGCTTTTCCTAAAGGACGTGGTGTCACTGATTTGCCATTCTTTATACTTGGCACTGGCTGCTCCTGTCATCACTAAGGTTTCAGACAGAGTAAAATATATTACCCTCCTCGGTCTTTCATGCTTGTAAACTGTGCAAGTCTGCTGTTCCCGGGAGGAGGTGGCCAATGGTTCCTCTGCACCCTCAGGGAGAACTGGCCAGGAAAGCTTAAAAGAAAAACCTCTGTACAAGTTTGTGAGGTGGGAGAAATGGCAAAAAAGTGCTTCCAGGGATAACTTTTCCTTGGCCAGACTGACCCAACTCAACAGAAATGCTGAGTCTGGGGATGTCAAGGACCGACGAGGAGCTGCGACCTGCTCCCAGCTCCCCCGGCAGCCCTGCAGCGGCCAGAGCTTCGCAGCGGAGGGCACGGCTCGCTTCCACCCGGCACCCTTTTCCTTTCTTTAACCCTATTCCTGCTATACATTGCTCTGTGGAAAACCTGATGACTACTGCAGCCTGTGCACATCTGTTTTCCCAGAGACTGAAGCTGGTAGCCTGGCTCCAGCTCTCCTAACTCGCCTTTATTGCTTCTCTCTGCTCCTTTTATTTCAGGTGAAGTGAAGCAGAGCTTTTTAAACCTCCCTAGGTGCCCCAGGCAGCCGTCTCTTAGTTCCCCACATGATTTAGGCTGGTTGAAACTTCTAGTTTTTAGGGGATGAAGCAGGGTCTCTCCTTTTCGCCCTATTTCAAACCTGCAATCTCGAGGGCTTCCACCTGACTCATCAGCAAACAAACCTCTGCCGCTCTGCTGATCGCCGCGGCGAGGAGCGGGGGGACGGCCGGGCTGCGCACCGATCGCACCCTGCCTGCTGCGCCGCCAAACTTTCCCTTGCTCACCCTGGGCAATCGGCCCTGCGATGCTTTTTCCTTCCCTGCTTTGCTTTTATGTAGTGGGGAAGGCGCCAGCCGTGCCGAGCTGTAGCAAACTCCCCTTTCCTTCATCGTTCTGGTGCTCAGGGGGCCGTGTCTGCGGTAAAGGGTGGGAGTTCTGCCAGAGCATTTGCTAGAGGCTTTCATGGCACGGGGAGGAAAAACCTGGGCGTGTGAGTGAGGATAGCGAATGCCAGGAGACCCCAGCCCTCCCTCCCAGGCCCACCCTCCTCCTCGCTGGCTGCCCAGAGGCACAAGAGGGACGGCAGGGTCAGACCTCTCTCTGCAGAAGGATTGGGCTTCGCCTGCTGCGTTCCTGCCCTGCGTCCTGGGTTTCTTTCCCTTTGCACCGAGGCGTGGGCTGCCTCGGCCAGGCGTTGTCACAGGGTGCCTGGCAGAGCCGTACCCTTCAGCAGGAAGGGAATTTGGCTGTTTCTCATCTTGCAGGCTCTGCAGTCTGCCTGGGCATAACATCAGAGAAGGAGGAGGAGCAGGCGGGCAGGGTGCAGCTCTGGGGCCCCGACGCGTCTGCGACACTGACGGGCTGCACCCCGGGAGGTGACGAGTGGGTCGCAAAGGCTGTGTGAGGGACGGTCGACCACTTCAGAAAATGTTTAGTTTTCTCCACGTAGGGTGTCATAAAGAGTGTCCCCTGGCAAGGGAAAGCCTGTTTATACCCACCGGAATCCTAATGAACCCTGAGCAGGCACGCTGCAGTTTTCTGCCCGTGCACTGCATCCCGGAGCGTGGCGAGACACGGCTCTCGGGTGTTAGTGGAGGGACAAGCAGCGCTTGGTCTGCTGTGGGTAAAACTCCATGCTTCCACCTTCACAGGGGGCAAAGCCTGCTGCGGTTTGGTGCGTGTCAGGGCTAAGAGGTGAGGCTGTAAAGAAAACAAACAGCAGAAGCCCTTCCTTTCCTAGTTAGTAAAGTGATAATCAGAGAGGTCTCACCCTGCTATTGCTGATTCACTTCAGCTGCTTCCTACCTGGGTCTTCCTCACTTCATAACCCGACTTCGGTGAAATCAGGTGAGTGAAGTGCAGATGCTGTGGCCCTGCCCTGCACGGTGCTGGGTGGAGTGTCAGGATGGGGCTGGGGTCCCACTCCCCCTCTCTCCCAGCTCTGCTACCACCCTGCCCGGCGCCCCGGCTCCGCAGTATGTCAGGGCCAGGCAGCCCCTCTTTTGTCCCTTCCCCGGGGGCAGCTGAAAGTGCCTGAATGTGAGTGCTGGGCACTTGGGAGCACGGCTGCGTGCCTGGGGAGGGGCTGGGGGTGTCAGCCCAACCCCTGCCTTTGCTGGCCATGCAGACCTGCAGCCCCTGCAAGCGCGGGTTGGAGCTATGGGTTATCTCTCAGGCGTCGGCTCAAGCACCCGGGATCCTTTGCAGACCGTTGGTTAAAAGGAGGTTTCTGCTGCACACACCTTGCAGATAATGTATGTTACAGGTGGTGTTTTGAGTCAAAGTTGGCTTAAAACATCTGTGAAGGTAATAGGGAGGCTGTGAAACGGCATAACTGTTGCATTGGTCCCTTAATCTTGGGAGCTGGTGCCCCGAATCGTGGGCGGTGAGTGGCAGCATCTCTCTGTGCGTGGGAATTAGTGACCCTCCTCGTTTCACTTCAGTTCTGTAGCAGCGTTTGCAGCAGAGGTCCCGTCCCCGGGCACAGCCTCCTGCCAGTGTGACATCCCAGCCCCGCTGCGGGCCACCTGCAGAGCCTGGGCAGGGGGAACGTCCCTGTGGGGCAGAGCTGCGCTTTGCAGCACCGCGGGGATCGCTGGGGCCCCCGAGAGGGGACAGATCCCCCCTTCAGACCTGCCCTGCCGTGAGCTCCGTGCAATTCAATTTATCTCCTGCGGAGACAGAAGAGCTGAGTCAGCCACGGCTGGGTTATTTTTTAAGTGGATGAAAATGCTGTGATGTATTTCAGGTCTTGCGCCTAGGACTTGTAAGCCGTTCCCCATGGATTTCTTTTAGCGTATGCTTGAAATTAAAAGCGGTTGGACCACACATCACTAGAGCAGGAATTATGCATGAGCTGGCTGAAGGTGAATTTTGAAATGAGTCTTCATTATTCACGTTTATTTTCTAGTTTAAAAACTGCAAGTAGTTTTTTGCAGAGGCAGGAAGGGACCAGAAACAGCTGAACCGGTGTATGCGTCCTTACTGCTGGCGTGTCCCCTGAGAGCACAGGGAGATGAGAAGATGGGGCTGAAAACGTGGGGAGCAGAATAAAAGCTCTGTCCCACACCTGCAGGTGCTTCATGGGGGTGCTGCCCCGCGGGGGGCTGGGGTGGCCCCCCCTTGTCCCGGCTGCCGTGGCGGGTGCGAGTCCCCCTGTCCTGGTCTCACCAGGAGACACCGGTCCGGCCCCTCGCGTGGGACAGTCAGGTGTTTCGTGCTGGGGGGAATGGAGAGCAGCAGCTGGAGACTTGCTGCCCTGGCACCGCGCCGCCAGCATCGTCCCCCTCCCCGATGTCGCGCTTCCAGCCGGGAGCTGTTGCCAGGCTCCTGGGCTTCCTTACCGGGATGGCAATGGCTGTCATTTCCCCTGGCAGAGCGTCGCACGTGAAAATTTAAATCAGGGGGAAAGAAAAACGCCACTGCTCCCCAGGGCTGGGAGAGCACCGGGCAGAGAGGCCTGGATGGGGCCGGGCTGGTGGGCACTGTCCTGTCACTGGGTTTTGGTGGTGGGGGAGCAGGGCACAGCCCGGGGCCTGGGGGAGCGTGGCTTCCCCACAGCCGGAGTGGATGAAAGCTGATAATCTGCCCCAAATCGGCTGCTGGTGGGGAAAAAATGAGCCACCCGGCTCTTTTTGTTCTTAGTCCTGCTCTTTGCCATGGCAACTTGGAGGGGCCGCGCTCCCTCCTCCCCGCTTCGGGCAGGGTAGGGGCGAACGGTGCAGGTGATGCTGGGGGCAGCTCTGGGGTATTTCTGGGGTAACGCCGAGCGGGGCGGCAGCGCCGCAGCTGAGCGGGGGGAAATGCCGCTCTTCAGGGTTGGGGGGGGGGGGAAATACCACCTAAACCCGAGTTGCTTAAACCCAGACTCGCTTCCCTCCTTTTGATCGCCCGCTCTCCTTCGCCGAGGGACGGGCCGCGGTGTGTGGTTCTGGCCGCCCGTGCCGTGCCCTGACGCTGCCCTGTTTTTCTGCCTTGCAGCCTCCCCCTTCATCATCGCCATGCTCCTGGCCAGCCTCAACAGCTGCTGCAACCCCTGGATCTACATGCTGTACACGGGGCACCTCTTCCACGACCTGATACGGCGCTTCCTCTGCTGCTCCACGCGGTACCTGAAGTCCCGGCCGGCGTGCGACCTGAGCGTCAGCAAGAAGAGCAACTCCTCCTCCTTCGTCCTCAGCTGCAAGAGCACGAGCCAGAGGAGCTTCACGCAGCCGACCACGGCGTGAGGGCATCGCCGGCCGGGACCTTGCGCTGTCTCCAGCGCTTCCCTAGGGAAGGCTGGGATTCGGACAAGCAAGGCGGGCTCTATATAAATAGGTGTATATACATCTGTGCGCGTGTAAGCATGTACAGCGGTCATTATTTAATGAGGTGGGAGGGAGGGGAGGACTTCTGTGGGCCAAGCTTCAGCGCTGCCTGGAACTGGGCACCAGGAACCTGCTTCTGAGCCCCCAAACTGCCCTCGGTGGTTTTTAAGCACCGCTGGGAGGGACAGGTTTTGCCCCGAGTGCTGCCGTGCTCCTGGGGCAGGTGTGCTACGTCCCCGGTGGGTGCAAGGGGCTGGAGCACAGGGCGAGAGGTGCCACCCTGGGCACATGGGCATCGGGCACTGGCCCCATCTCTGCCCGCAGCAGGAATTCCGCAGGATACCAGCACCTGGCTGGCGTGGAGCATGGGCACCGCGCTCTCAATATGCTGGGAAGTGCTGTGGGGCAGAGGGAGCCCCATCCCCTCATCCCCCCTGCATCCCCTCATCCCCATATCCCCGCATCCCTGTATCCCTGCATCCCCACATCCCTGCATATCCCCTCATCCCTGCATCCCCTCATCCCCATATCCTCGCATCCCCGCACCCCTGTATCCCTGTATCCCCACATCCCTGCATCTCCCCTGCATCCCCTCATCCCCGCATCCCCTCATCCCCATATCCCCGCATCCCTGCACCCCTGTATCCCTGCATCCCCGCACCCCTGTATCCCCACATCCCCACATCCCTGCATCCCCCCTGCATCCCCTCATCCCTGCATCCCCGCATCCCTACACCCCTGCATCCTTGCTCGGTACCAGCCCGGCTTCCCCCAGCCTGGACCTGCTGGTGGCACTGCTGGCACAGAGCTGGGCAGTCCTGCTGCCACGGGCTGGGGGGGGGGGGCAGTGGGGACAGGGCTGGGGACCAGCCCCCCCCAGGGGCCAACGCTAACGCCCGGGTGTCCCCCCACGCTGCGTGGTGTGAGGCTGCGCACTCGGGTCAGCCGGAGCCCGGGGAGCCGACACGGCTGCAGGGCTGGGGGGTCTGTGCAATAACGCGTTTGCTGAGCGGGCTCAGAAGCTCCTGCGAAGGCAGGTGGGGGGGTCATGGCGGGGGGGGGGGGGTCACAGCAGGGGGGTCATGGTGGGGTTTGACACAGAAACTCCCGTTGAGTCCCCCAGGGCCAGGCTTTTGCTTTGGGTTTACCGCAGATCGCATTCAGTCTTTTACACCAATACAATTTTCTTGCTCTGTAACGCACAAGGTCATGCTTATGGCACGGAGATTTTTTTTTATTGTTAAGAATTACCTGTAAATAAAGTTTTCTGACTGTGTCTTGATGGAAAGCGGCAGGGGAAGCGCGGCAGGAGCACTGGGCTAGGAAAGTGAAGGCAACCGACGGGGAGCAACGCTTTAAACACGAGGCCCAGGTACGCCCAGCGTAACGATGCTCTCGTTTGCAGAGCCCAGCGCCCACAGCCCGCAGGGTGGCACGCCGGGGGGGGACACGCACGACCCCGGCCGCAGGCAGCAGGGGCTTTACCCAGCAGGTACATTTTCATATCCTGGCATTCCCAATTTTTCTGCAGTCAAGCAAGCTCTCCGCGCATTTGCTGAATACGACCCAGAACATTCAGCCTCAGCGGATTTTACCAGGCTGGATTCAATCCTCAGGAAAGCGCACAGCGTTTTCCTCCCACATTCACTTTTTTTTTCTCCCGGAGAACAATCCTCTCCTGCACAACACAGGCGGAGGTGGAGGCTCCCGTTTTCTCATGAACCCGGGGGCCCGGCGCAGCCTCCGTCTGCCAGGCGGGCAATGCAACGTGGCGATGGATTTTACCGGGAGCGATGTGCTGGGGAAGGTGGAAGCCGCGGGGGGAGGCCGGGCATCGCCTTGCCAGCCCCGGTTCCTATCCCGGGCTGCGGCTGTGGGGCCGGGCAGGAGGGGCCGGGGAGAGCAGCGCCGGGCTTGTCGCAGCGGAAGGGTATTGAACGCGCTGCCAAGAAGCTTTTCATAAGGGTCGAAAGCAAAATAAAGGTGCTGACACGTGAGCAGCTTGTGTGCCACGTGCCAGAGCCCGTAGATTACTGCGGTGGGGAGATCAGGGTTCTGTAGGGCTCAGGCTGTGAACTGCTAGAACAAAAAAAAAAATGTAAAAGAATATAATCTCAGTATTTTTTAAAATTATTTTTATTCCCACAAAAAGCTTTAAAAAATGCTCATGATAAAGTGTTTTTGAGACTTTTTTTTCCCCCTACAAATATCTAAATATTTTTTTTTTTCTGTATCACTCCATCCATCTCGAGGCCCGGTGTTGCTAGAGCATGGGTGCTCTATTGGTATGGAATAATGGAAGTCCACAATCCCAAGCCATTGGAAGAGCACCAATAGAAAATCTGGCTGTTTCTTGTCCTTGGCATGGCACTAGGAGAGACTTTGGCTCCGAGTCTCTGTTGGAAGCCAAGGGAAAAAAAGCACATGAATACAATTGAGAATAACCTCTGAACAACGAGACCTCCTGGGCCCTGATTCAGCAAAGCTCTTAAGGCCAGAGCCAAAAAACTGTTTAAGTGCCTCAGAGTTAAAGCACGGCTTCGTGGAAGATGGACTGAGGGAATTAATTGACGATACAGGGGAGGAACTAGCGCTGAATTGGACTCTTTTCCCCTCGTGCCCGTGCTCTCACGGGAGCCAGAGCGGCTGGGAGCGGGCAGTGTCCTGGGGAGGCTCCTTCCCCCGCTGCCCCGGGGGGCGATGGAGGGGACGGGGGTCTCCACCCCGGGGGGGGTCTGCAGCGAAAGCAGGGGGGGGGCTTTCCCAGCATCAAGCGAGCAAGCACGTAGGAAATATCCTCCCTGCGAAAGACGCCGAAGCTTTGCTCAAAGCCAAGCTTGCCGTTTCTCAAGCGAAGCTGTCAAGAGCCATTAGTTCTCGCGGGTCCCCGTGGTGCTGCACCCCCCCCCCCCCAGGCCCACGGGCGATGCGCAGGGGTCCTGCCCACCCGTGCCAGACTGCCCGTGGAATCCCGACCACAGAGCGTGACGATGCCCTGTCGTTCCGTGCTGAGTGTCAAACTGCCACAAAGGGTTTCGCAGCTGCCGGTGGGCTGAGCACATACTCCCAGGAGGCCGGCACAGCGTTTCCTGCACTAATTGATCCGGATTGCCAAGCTGTGCTGAAATGTGGACACACATGAAAAAAAAAAAAAAAAAAAAAAAAAAAGTTTGTTTTCGCTGTTCTAGCCATAAAACTTCTGTGCGGCACGATTTAAGCTTCCACAACAACGATTATTTGCAGCAAATAATAATTTGTAAGCAAGTATTTGTCTTAGTGTCATGCTAGACGGAAGGGATGGAGAAGCAGGCGGGGTTTGGTCTGGTGCCCACCCTTGCTTCTCGCCCTGCAGCTGCAGGTCGTGGCCCAGGGCTGTGGTCCAGGAGATGTTGCGGGGGCGATGCCGGGGGTCCCGGAGGGCGGGGGGGGGTCTCCCTGGGCTGCTCACCAAGCCTCGCCGGGCTTCTCTTCTCCTGAAGCTGCTGGCTTTGGGCTGGAGGAGGGGGCAGCCCGGCGTGACTCCAGCTGCAAGGAGCATCCCAACAGCTCGGGCCCCGCGCATGTCCCTGTGCCCGGGGGGGTGGCTGTGCGAGGGCTGGCCGGGGCGGCTGTAGGGACCTAGATCTCCTTCCGGAGAGCAACCCTGACGTTGCTGCAGATCTTAGAGAGTGCCTCGAAGAGCGGGTCGCAGAAGGTGTGGATGCAGAGGGAGTAGATCCGGCTGACGCACTGGATCTCTATCAGGTAGCTCTTGATGCAGGGCACCACTGCCCAGATGTGGCAGAAGGAGATGAGGGCAAAGAGGAAGCCCCAGACGACTGCCAGGGGGATGCCCAGGATGGCGGAGAGCAGCCGGTAGCACCAGTACTTGCTGACGGTGAAGGTGGTGTAGCTGGTTTTCCAGACGCCGTCAAAGCTGTATGTTCCCACAGGCTCAGCTATCACATCCTCGAAATCCACCTGGGAGGAGAGGAGGTGGAGGTAAAGGGGGCTTGGGAGGGGGGGGGGGGGTGACAACGGCTCCGTGCAAGGCTGAGGATCTGCGGCACCGTGAGAGGGGAGCTGGGCTGGGGGTGCTGGGCTCTTGGAACGGGAGCTGGGCGCGGGAGTGTTTACTCCGGAGGAGGCCAGAGCCTGTTCCTGCCCTTTTTTAGCATTCAGGGACATGGGCTGCCTGCTCGGCAAGGTGGTTTGTGCTAATAAAAAGTCCAAGAGCCCTCTTGATTTACGATTTATTTATTTCTGTGTGTGGAGGTGAGGTGCTCAATTCTGTCTGTCTGCGTTCTGTCTGAAGAGGGAGAGAGATCGGCTGGGCCATGCCCTTACAGGGCTGGCGCTGTTATGTGCAGGCATTGGGAGTGTCTCTGAATGGCAAATACTCTTAAAAGCCTCTGAACCACACTTAGAGATCTCATTGTGGTGTAATTCATTTCTAGGGAATTTGTAAGCCAGGCTCTCTGCCTTGAAAAATAGCATGGCCTTTCCTTGGGAAGCTAGCACGTCTCTTTGTACTTTTACGTTAAACTGTAATATCCATTCTGGTTTCGGAAGCACTTTGATCATAAAATCGTTCTGCAGCACCTCTAATTTCCTGGAGTGGGCAGGAGGTACGGGGAGAAATATTGAGGTGGGTTGGGGACCAGCGGCCCTGGGGAAAGCCCAGGTGGGCTGGAGCAGCAGGTCTGCGCAGCTGCCTGATGAGCTCGTCAGGGGCAATTAATGAAGGGGGCAGCGGGCTATAAGAGCCGTCTCTGCCTTGCTGCTCCTTTGGCTAGCTGGGATCCAGAGGTGGGTCCGGAGGAGTGGTGGAGGCTGAGCCTGGGAGCTGCCCTGGGGTGTCTGGGGACCGGCACTCACAGGTACCTTCTGCTGCTGCTCGGCCTGGGAGGAGGCTTCAAAAGCTCTGTAAAGCTGCTGGGGCTGGGGCTGCAGCTCCAACTGTGACGCGGTCTCAGATTCTGGCTGTGGCGCTGTAATGCCCAGGATGGGTTTATCTATGGCTGCAGGAACCCTTCAGCCTGCAAAGCTCCCTTGCTCCCCTCCACCCGGTGCCTCTGCCTCCGGGCGTTCAGAGCATTGCGTGCTTTAATGCCCCGGGGTGTTTTCCAGTGTGGTCCTGCCCACGGGGGAGAGCGGGCTTCGGCTTTCCCTTCGGGATGCTGTTGAGAGGCAGTGGGGTGAGTCGCGTTCCCTGTCCCGGGGCTGGCTCTGCGCTCCCTCCCCAGCGTTATCGGCTGTGCTATTTTTAAGGTGGGAGGAACGCTAGGTAGCTTGAGCAAACGCTCTGAAAACTTCCAAAGCTGGTGAAGCGGCAGTGTGGCCACGTAAGTGGGTGAGCTTGATAATCCTCTTACAGGCTTTTGGGGATCCCTGAGCGGGAAAAGGCTGGGGTGGGGGAATGGGGCTGGCATGAGGGGTTAGGGATGGCCTGGAAGGCAGCGGCACTGCCCCCCAGCAGTAGACACCTGAGCTGGGGAGCAGGTAGATGCACCCCAGAGCACGGGCCGTCCCGGTCCCTGCCGTGCTGGTGGCAGGATGGTGCTGCCTGCAGCCCAGCACCCTGCGAGCCCCGGGCCAGGGCTCTCGGGGGGTGCTGGCACGGGGTGGCGCAGATGTGGGACACGCTCGAGATACCGCGGCGCCCGGCAGCCGTCACGGGCACGTCCCGCTGTGCCCGAAGGGTGCCCAGCTACGGCTGTCACCGTCACAGCTCGTCGCGGGGGGCTTTTAAACTGGCCACACCGTGGTTTTAGCTGTAGTAGTGTTTGAACGCACCAGTGCAGGCTTGCATTTCACCACCACGATCAAGGTCACGGCCCGTTACGAAGCCTTTGTGAGCAGGCTTAGGGCGTGCTGTACTTTCTGGCACATCATCCACTTTGATCTCTCAAATACAGTTTTAACAAAACCCTTCCATGTCCTCCTGTTCTCCTTTGGGCCAAAATTATCTTTGACATAATGCTAACAAAGCTTAGAGCAGCCATGTTTCGGTGGTCAGCATTCAGGAAAATGCTTCCCTGTTCAGCTAAGACTGAGAACTCCTCTTGATCAAAAATAGACCGAGGAGGCTTGCTGCAGCCTCCTGCTGCCACGGGGGAGAAACAACCTTCTTCCAAACAGCAACACGTGTCTACGTGCTCTGACTGTCAGGTCTTGAAGGTGAGCGGTCTTTCTCCAGGGTTCCCTTTAAATGGGTGATATGGGCTCACCCTGTTTTATTTTTGGCTCCCCGCTTACAGCTACAGAGGAGGGCATCTCCATAAATTTTCGAGCTACACCCCGTGAAGTTGGAGAGTGTGTTCCAGGAATGGGAAATATTGCATTAATTGGAGCCAGGCATGCCACCCGGCCGGCTGCAGGACGGCGGTACCGATACACTGGTTAAGGGGGCGGCGGCGCTTCTACAACACAGTGCGGGGAAAGTCCTACCTTGACGACGTCCTCGTTTATGTGCTTTGGGTCTCTGTTCACCAGGTCGATCTCCTTGGTGTGCTGGTCCTTGATGATGATCCTCTCCTCCAGCTCGGTCTGTTCCTCTGCCATGGCTGCTCTGGCTCCGGACGCTGCCGGAGCGGGGAATTGGGGCTCTGCCGGAGGAGGACCCGGGGTGGGCAGGGTGGGAGGCACTGTCCCCCCCCCCCGCTGCAGCAGCAGCAGCTGCCCTGTGCCCCTGGCAGGGCTCCAGGCTAAAATTAATGCCGTGCCTCCTGCGGCCGCTCCGGAGTGTCCCTTAAAGGGGCTTTGCTGGGGACAGCCCCCACGGTGTCACCTCGGGGGGGGGAGGATGGGTGGGTGGGTGGGTGGGTGCTGGCCCTCGAGCCGGGGCAAGGATGGCATGGGGTGGGTGGGTGTGCAGCCCCCCGGCCCGCCTGTGCAGGTGGGATTTTCTCCTGGTGTGGGGAGGCAGCATGGGAGGAAGGGTGCCCAAATTGTGGCTGGAAGTCCTCAAAAGCCTGAGGGAAACAGTTGTTTACGAGGGAAATTGTTTATGAATCTGCAATTCAAGTGGCTCAGGGGAGGCAGGAACAATGTCTATAAATATCGCCCAGAGAAGCCACATTGTCCTGGGATGGCCAGTGAGCCCCGGGGTCCCTCCGGGAGCTCAGAACGTGGCTCACGGTATCAGCTTGGATTCCTTCGATTCCAGCTTTTTCGAGGAAATCCAACAGACCAACCCACAGAGCTATAATGCTCGGGATATCTCCTCCAGGAACACGGGGCACAGTGACATTTAGCGTATAAACGAAGATTTATTGAACTCGTGATCTGTTTTGATAACCCTCATCAATCTCCTCAGTGCTCGCTTGGCTTCTGTGAACTGGAGGTTTGTTCGAAATTAATGGTTTCGTGGAAAAAAAAAAAACAAACAAAAAACAAACAAAAAACCCCCCCAACCAAACAAAACCAACCAACCAACCCCCCCCCCCCCCCCCAAGCTGTTGTCCAGCCTCTTGTTCACAGCGGTGTTTGTGTGAAGCCGTGCTGGGGTGACAGCCCTCGCCTGTCCCTTGGCTGGGGGCTGCCCTGCGGGTGCTCTGACCCCTCCCGGGCAGTGCTGGGGGTGCCCTCGGTGACACCCGGCCAGGCTGCCGGGGTGACAGCCGGTGGTTGTGCCTCCCCCCACAGCGAGCCCCACGTGTTGGTACCCCACGCTGCAGCGTCTGGGGCGGGGGGACAAATCCTCTCGAGGCAGCGACTGTGTCTTAACCCTGTTCGTGTTGTGTTCTCCAGCCCCGTTTATCTTCTGTTTCGCGTGTGAAATGGCAAAGGTTTCTCTGCCTGGGAGGTGCTCTGGGTTTCCTTGTTGAGGTGAAACGTTGCCCCTGGGAAGTGACATCCGTGTGGTTTTGCAGAGGAGCAGGGCGGGGTCCCCGGGCAGCACCCGAGGCTGGGGGTGCTGTGGGTGCGTGCTTTTCCCTTCCTTCACGCCTTTTGTGCCGGTACAACAATTTGAAAGCGAGAAGGGGTGGAGAGGGCCGGGCGCCTGGCTGGTTGAGGAGGGGGAGGCAGTGCCCCGAGGTGTCGGCACGACCACTGAGCGTGGAAGCGGCCGCTTCGGAGGGCGTGCGCTCGGCTGGCACGGCGGGGGGAGTATTTTAACAGCAAAAGGCTGCTGCCTTCCAAAGCCATCAGTGCCTGTGCAGTGCCGTCTTTATCAAACCCACGTGGCCGGGTGCCTGGAGCTTTCAGCGCTTCAATGGTTTCGTTCCAGCCCTTGGAGTTGATATAATACAGTGGAAGAGCACAATCCCATTTTTGCATTTGGCCGAGGCGTCGCATGTCTCCCGGGCATATTAATTTTCCCTGAGAACTTGTGATGGTGAGGGCCTGGCTGTGTGTCACCGCAGGTCGAAGGCTGCTAGATTCCTCTAACTCCTCCTGCTGCCTGTGGGTTTTTTTTCAGTATTTTTTCTGGAGTCAGGGATTTTTTTCAGTACTTTTTCTGGTACCTCAGTCTGGAAACTGTTTTTCTTGAGATTTCTGCTCTAGTGAAAGCAACGTGGTGATGCTCTGGGGTGTGACATATCCGTGGCTAAACCTGTGATGAGTGCGGCTTGTCAGAGCCCCCCCCGGCTGCTCCTGTAGGGAGGGACAGGGCAGAGCTGGGGGTGGGAGAGGAACCGCGCGAACCCGCGGGGTGTCACAAGAGGAAAGGAGGCACTGGTGGGGAAGGGGTGAGCTCTGGGAAGGTTTGTGAGCGTGGGGTTGTGGGTTTAAATCTGGGCAGGTCGGTTCTGGTGAGGAGCGCCTGTCAGTGACCCCAGCCTGGCTGCGTTCCTCCAGGTACAAGGATGCTGGCAAAGCCCCGGCTCCATGTCCCCAACCCCGCTGGGGCTTTGGGAGCCCCCTGGGCTGGAAGAGCCCGGGCCCCACGTGGGCTGGCATCACCCGTAACAAAACTCCCTGCCCCAAACCTTTGGGCACCAGCTGTAAGGCCAGCCCGGCTCTGTCCCGGCTGAATTCCTCTCTAGCAAAGTTCCGCAGCACCGCTGCTGCGGTGGCTGAGCAGATTGGGAACGGTGGGTGGGTTGTTTATTTGTTTTTGTTGTGTTTTTTTTTTTTTTGTTGTTGTTGTTGTTGTTTTTTTTTTGTTTTTTTTTTTTGCAAAATAAGCTGTTTTCCCTTTCCTTTCCCTTTGCTCTGAGCTGAGGGGACACACCGCTGGCGTGAGCGGAGGCGGCGTGCGTGCGTAACCGGAGCACTGCGCCCTTGGCTGGGAACCAGCGCCGAATTTAGGAGGCACAGCTGCTCCTGGCAGAGCTGTCCCCCCGACAGACAGAGGAGTGCCACACGAGGTATTTGCTCCGCTGCATGTTCCTCCACCCGTGGAAGGCTTTACACCAGGAAGGGGGGTTTGGTGACCTGCCCTCCCTGCGGTCCGGGTGACTCAGGGCTGGGGGGGGGGGGATGGCAGGGCCATGCTGGGGTGCAGCCTGTGCTCGCCCCGGCGTTGCTGGGCCCTGCCCCACCTCTCGGATGGGATTTCTAACAGCTTGAGTCACTGGCTGTCTTTAGGCTCGGGCTGGGCTGGTCCTTGCTGTCTGCCTCTGGGCATGGGGCTTTGGTGTCCCGGGCGTGGGGGTAGGAAAATGTGAACCCACGTAGTGGTCAGCGTGCAGTTAGTAAGAGTCTCGAGTAGCAATGAGAGAGAGAGGAGGAATATTCTGTTGCACTGTAGGGGCTATAAATGAATCTATTTCTGAGTACTTTAAGACTGCGAATGCAACACCGTGTAAAAGCTTGGTGTGCAGACGTCACAGTGGACTAACAGTAATGTTAGTCTGCTAATAACTCATGGCAACCAGAAGTTTAATTGCTAAGAAAACAACAGCACTTTTAGCAAATATCAATGCTCCAGTGGGGATGGATGTAGATGAGATGCATTGAAAGAATTTGCTGGCCACGGCTTCTCTTGTGGAGACCCTCTCCCAGCGTGGCCATGAAAGAGACTGAGCTTCTAATTTAGTGGCAGTGCCCTACACTGGCACCAGCAAAAAAGTCATCATGCCTTTCAGTATGAAATCTGGCATTCGTATAGCAAATACATTCCTCTTTCCAAATCAAGGGCTTCTCCTTGCAGAGTTTTTCTTGCACCAGCCTGCCCGGGCTCCAGGCAAGTCCTTGGCTTCAGTTGGTCCTCTCATCCCCTGAGCCCAGCCACGCTCAGCCAGCCCTTGCCTGTCCGTCTGTCCAGCTCTGAGCGTGGAGGAAGGGGATTTGGGCTCATGCAAAGGACGGGGCAGATGGAGCGTTCCTGCATGCATGGGGCACGCTTGGGTGTTTTACAACCCAGGTCCCCACCCCGGTGCAGGATTCTGGCGTGTGCCCATTACCAGAGGATGGCTCCTACCCTGTAAATACGACATTGCTGGTGGCCACTGCAGCGAGAAGCCGCTTTTATTCAGCTCTTTGTTGCTGCTGTGCTCTCTTTCCTGTTCTACGAGCAGCTCTTCTTGAAAGTTTGTGCCGCGGCACTGACGGAGGAGGAGGAGGTGCCACTGCTCCGGTGCTGGGGTCACCGTTTCAGTCGGGAGCTTACCAGAGAATCAGGGCTCGGGCATCATCCGGAAACCTTCCCAAGCCATCAGGTATGGCTTAGGACGTGAAGGAGACTCCGCTGCTTCTGTTTAGCATGGAGCGTTTCCCGTGCTCCCCGTGCATCAAGCCTTTGAAGGCTTTTTTTCCCTCCCAGGAAAAGGGGAAGAGGCAGGGGAGGCGAGCTGGCGGGAGCAGGGCCGGGCTGGGCAGCGGAGGTGCAGGACGTGCCTGCTCGGTGCCGCTCGGGTCACTTCTTGTTCTCCGGCCTCTCCGGGGGACGCTCGTGGGGCTCGCTTGGCCGCGGTGCCTGGGTGCTGCTCCCCTCGCCGCCCCGCTGCGATTCCCCCGCGCCCGGGGGCGCCTGCGGGAGTCGAAGCCCAGCTGCACTGACGTTCGAAACTTTGAGAACACTTGTTAGGAAACCTTGAGACCAGTTTCCCTCGGCAGAAGCAAAGAATTACCGTTGCCCGCCCCCCTTCTCGACCAGCCTTATACCTGATCTCAAGGCGAGTATTGCTTTTGGTAGACGGATTATCAAAACCTGCACTGGCTGGGGGCTAGAAGTACTGCTGCTATGAACTTAGCCATCTAGAGATCAGCTAAATAACCTGCTGCTTGGTCCCAGCAAGCAAAATCTATTTCTCTTGAGCAGAGAAGAATAAAGCAGAAATAAATCTTGCAGAAATCAAATCTCCTATGAAAATAGAGAGACCAGAATTGCAGTGAAAAAATAGTAAAGAAGGAGAAGAAATTGGGAACTTTTGCTGCCGAGTCCTCTGAGAGCATGAGGTATGCTCTGTGAGAGGGGAGAGCTGGGTATAAAGTGATGCTGGAAAATTAAGTCTTAGGATAAAGCAGGAGGACTGACTCAGTGTGTAATCCTGACCTCAGGGGCTTTTAATCCTTCAGCAGGGTTTAGTATGTGTAGCAAGGCAAGCAAATGAATATTTCAAGTGAGTGGAAGGGAGTGAGGGTAAGGGATCAGCTCTGCCTTCAGTGCTTGTGGCAGAGCTCTCCTTTCATCTTTTTTTAAAAAG